TGCAAGGTTTTTAAAGGAGCTCATAAAGTCTTATTTTCTGCGGCAACAAAAGGCTTATAAAAGCATTTCCTAAGATGTTTGTACTTCTGTGGCAGTGTCAGATATCCTCAGAGTGTGATCACACTCTGAGTACAAACAGATTTGTACTCTAATGAAGAATTGCTGCACAGGAAGCCTGCTCTACATAGAGGAATTGGGAAGCTTCTACTACAGAGTGGTCTTTTGAAATTATATTTTAAAATGAAAGACAGTTCATTTCCACTGAAGATTTAGAGACTGTATCAGGGGTTTCTTTACTTAGGTGATGACAGAGACTGATAAGGAGGTGAAGTTTAAATATAGGAGGAAGACTGTATTTAAGACTATCTAGTCTCTGACATGTGTCCGATACTTCTTGAACAGCCAGAGGGACCTAAGCTGGTAGAGGTTGCAAGATCTAACCAATGATGGCACATTTGACAACTGAGTTGTGGTGTTTAGCTTTTACAGTAAAAATTAAAGCAAATGGGCCCTTCCTGGTGGCGCAGTGGGTTAAAGCACAGCACTGAGAATCTAAAGCCGCTTCCGCATGAGTTCAATTCCCGCCTGCCCCGGAGGTGACCACATGGTGTGGCAGACCTCTCCTGACCCGCCCGCTGCTCCCCTCAGCAGTGTACTTCCTCGATCTGCCTGTTCTGCTCCCCACTCTGTTCCTGGTGAATTCTGTCACCCTTCGCATCTCTGGCCTGTACCCTAGTTCTGTATGAATAAATAAATAAATCTTAAAAAAAAAAATTAAAGCAAATGGAAATGGTTCCATTGAAATTTTGGCAGAAACCCATGTGGTATTTGCTTCTGAGAAGAGCTTGTATAAGACAGCTAGAAGCAGAATGTTTCTCTGAACTCAGTATTCCATCTGTTTGATGGCTTCAGTGTCCTTCCCTGCGTGTGAAGATAGGCGAGTTGTGGCTGACCAGGAGGCCAGAATGTGCTTCCCTTCACAAAAGTTTTTTTTTCTAATTAAGGGTAAAGGGAAACAAAACAAAAGGAGATTCTGGAGATTCCATTTGAATCAAGATGAAAGAAGTCAGTATCTGGGCAACTGTTGCTATTTTCACTCTCAGTTGTTTACGATTTGAATGTTTTTCTCTGATTTAAGAATGACTTGAGAGAGTTATTTATACCCAGATGCATTCTCATATGTGGCGGGGGAACAGTCATTAAAATGTTGTCAATAAAAGCAAAAATCAGGCTTTATGGGAAAGAGCAGATAAGATGGCAGGAGGTGTGGAAGCAGCACCTCTTCATATGGAGAGAAGGCATCTTCGGGCCAATCTTAAGCAAGCATGCTAGGTTTATCAAATTAATTCCAGCTACCTAGGAATTTCAAAATCTTGAGTATGTGATTCTCACCATCCTGAACATTTCATGGCAAAGAAGGAGCTAAAAAAAAAAAAAAAAAACACGTCTGGCTTTTTAGAGCCTTGCCCAGAATGATACTGGTCACTTGCAGTTATGGCCTATTGGCAGGAAGTACTCAGAGTGCTCCAAAAGGAGCAAAGGAGAGGTGTAAAAGTACCCTCTGTGTGTCCATGAGGGGAGGAGAACCAGACACTGGTTCTGGCTTTAACTCTGTGTCCCCCACAAGCCTGTGCACAGCAGACACAGGGCCCCCCAACAAATGGGTTTGCACACTGATCCTCACTGGTGGGTAATAGTGCCTGTCTCATGTGGTTCCTTACTGGTAGTTCTTACATCTGTGATTTCTACTTACACAAATAGAAATGCACATCCATTGCTTCTATTAATGGACATGACTAAAGAAACTATCAGGCACACACACAGGTAGACTCAGGTTATTTCCCTGCTGGGTATTGACATCTGTGCTCCTTCCCAATGTCTTAGGAAGGCGTGATCTCTTGAACTGGTCTACTCTCTGAAGCATAGAGCCATTGGGTTAAGCCCTACAAAACTTCCCCTTTGCTACTTAGTCTTACTTGACTGATGCACCTTTCTCACCCTTTCTTAGAAACCAACCAACTTTATAGTTCATGGTGACAGTCCTGTTGCAGTTCAGAGGATCTCCTGACATCCCAGAGGAAGGAAGAAAGAGGAGGTTCTCTTACTTCTCAGCTTGAGGATCAGTGTGCAAACCCATTTGGTGGGGGGCCCTGTGCCTGCTGTGCACAGGCTTGTGTGGGGGAATCAGGACATGGAGTTAAAGCCAGAGCATAACAGAGCTGAGGTAGGAATTGCCAGAGGAATGGATATGTGTTGAGTCTGAGGAATGCCTGTGCCAGAACTCAAATAAACTGTATTAGCCTATGTATTGTTGTCTTGGTCACATGACAACAACCTTAGAGTTATTTTTTCTAGAAATATTTCTATTTATTTTGTGATTTATTATAAATTATGAAATAGAAATTTAGAAAAATAATTTATACTGTTTTAATAAAATCAATGAAAATCTAGAAATTATTCCTACTACTTAAACTCCAGTGTAAGTGTGAGACATGTGGCCATGTCTGTTGCCAGTGGATCTGTCTCTGGCTTTCTTGTTGGGTTCTCTGCGGTGGAAAGCTATGAACACGTGCTTTCAGAACCTGGATGTGCTGGGACACAAGCCACATGGTCACGACTCTGTAATGTACATAGCTATAAACTCTAAGCATTACTGAGTCAATCAAGCTGTGGTGGACGGCCTGGGATCACCTTTAACTCTGGCTTCCGCACCCCTACACCACTCCAAATGTCCTTCCCTATCTCTGGATAATTTTGAGCCTGAGTTTTCCATCCATTGATATCAAGGTCCCAGTTAGAACTCTGATATGAGGGGGCTTGCTTGATAATCTCTTGCAAATCACAGATTATTTGTAAATCTGAAATTTTTTTTTTGTAGTGAATTCAGATTTATTAAAATTGATCATATGCACTATTGCTTCCTTTTTTATATTTGTTATATTGCTTATATTTATTATGTGTTTTTGGTCATTTGTTTTTTTCTTAGTTCTTTTAAAATTTATTATAGTTATTACTTGTGGCATTCAGGATGTCTTGTGTTGGGGGGAATACATTTAACACAAATACCAGGACACCTTGAGCCCTTCCTCTAGTGTGGTTTCATTGTCTTGCCTTTAGTTTTGATGGCATCCTGGGACACGACCTCCAGCAGCCATTTCTGAGCGCCCCCCCCCTTTGCTTTCATCCTGAAAGTTGTGTTATTTCTATTTCTATATTGAGAGTAAAAGGGGAAAAATGTATACAATCTGAAGAGAAACCAGAGTATACGGTTGCGTATGACTTCGCTCCTCTAGCTCCCACTGGGGTTTCAGCTGTGTTTAGGCCACCAACCCTCCAGGCCCTCCCTTAGTCCTTCGGCTGGAATTTCTCACCGGTTCTTCAGTGGATAAGGCTACTCTCTAGCACTGTCATGACAGGCTCTGAGTACTTTTCTCCCCACATGCTCATGTCCTAGAGTGGGCTAGGCCCTCCTCTTCCTGTTTCCTGTCACCTCCTCTTTTCCTTTCCATTTTCCAGTGGTTCCTTTAGTCTCTTCTTTGAGGTTCCTCCTTAGTGGTTCAGGCCATTAACTAAGCTGTTCAGGCTAGCCTGCAGGCTTTCCATCTATCTTCTCTGTCTAGGACTTCTTAGTTCCTATGCCACTGCTCGACGTTTTCAGGAGACCCAGGGGACAGGGTCCTTTTTAGCTGATACCCATAGGAAGGTTGGGGCCACTGTGATTTTGGCACCACATTCAGGCTGTCCAGGCCTTATAGGTCTGAGGAGTGCTGGGGGGTGATGCCTCCTGTACTGCAGGAGTCTGGGAAGGAGGCAGCAACTTCAGGAGGAGGGAGTTGTGAGGAGAATGAGAAAGTCAGATGAGAGCAGGTAGAAGTCCCCCACACCACATGGTACGTGAGAAAAAGCATCTCAGGGGTGATCTGTCCTCGTGCGTAGAAGTCACGGGACCCAAGAGGGGCCCAGAAACTAATTTTTCCTCTTTTTAAAAATTGTGGTAAATGGGATTTTTTTTTCCTTTGGAATTTTGAGATTTCTGACATAGGCAGTTGTTCTTGGTCCTCCAAAAAGTCAAAAAACAAATGCACACATGCACACACGCTCATATACCTATTGAATAAAACTTTACCGAACTTGATTTACTCAGAGCACAGCTGGCCTGCTCTCCTCTCCTCTCTTCTTTTCTTTCTCCTGGGGTCACATTTGCTCTATCCGCAGCAAGGCACAGTTAGCCTACTAGAACCAGCTACCCAGGCAGGCAAAGGGTCCCTTTTGCATTTCACTGAGGTTTGCACTCCGCTTCAGGTACATCCAACTATAAAAGCCACATTTAAACCTGAGAAAACAGATTCTAATGAGCATGATGGCAGGCAGGTGGTTTTCTAGAAGTGTGTCATGTAAGACCTCACAGGGCTGGCTGGTTTCCTTTGCCAGCATTCTCATTTTTGCAGAGACCAGCGCGCCCTAGGAGCGCCCTAGGAGACCACACCTCACACTCATCCTTCATGGGCCCAGCTTGGAGTAGCATGTTTCCCATCGGAGCAAAACACACACAACTTTTGATGACAAGTTGGAATTTATCTTTCTCATTCCTCCCCAGAGCCACCATGGCAAAAGCCCCTTTTCCAGAAAGGATGATCTCAATGTTTTCCATGTCTTTGTGTTTAAAAATTTCAGCTCAGATCAAAACCCTGCAGAGGTTTCCATGATTTAGATCAGCATTTCCAAGAGTTTTCCTTAAAAAAACAAATAAAACAAGATGCAGATTCAGACCTTATGTTGCATGGTATGTGATTCTACAACCAAGTTCACTTGGAGAGTTTTAGTACAGACGCAGGGAATTACTTTCTTTATCAGGGTTGTTCTCAGACTTTCTATGATAGGCTTTAAGTGTTGCAGTAGTGTTTTCTCATGCCCACCAGTATGGGTGGTGGCTGGGGGGTGCCCGGGGTAGTGCCCATACTCACCTGGACCACCTGCAGCCCCATCCAGTCCTTGAGGATCTAGGGGGCACATTGGCGCACCCGACTCCAGACCCAGTGATGTGGATTCTGGGCCTGGATCTGCAAAGGAAACATGGGAGGGTGAATGCTTGGAGGAAGGGCCCAACCCCACTCACCTTTGGGGTGTGGCCCCTGGCCATCATCCCCCACAGACCTCTTCACACAGTTCCGGGGTGACCCAGGCACGATGTCCCATTGCCTGGAAGAACTCCACCTTCAGCTTTAGGAACTCCTTGTAGAGGTCGGGCCAATGCTCCCTGCCCAGCAGGAATTGGAAGATGCTCCTCTTGGATGTGGGGTTGTCCTCCTCCATGTCTGAGGCAATATAGCTGGCATAGGGTGAGAAGGGGAGCCTGGCTCTTGCAATGACTGCCAGTCTTGAGTGGGACAGTGGGGAGAGGCTGCAGATGTCCCCCTGGGGGATCCAGTGTCCAGGGCGGAATATCCAGGACAAAAGGTCCGGGGCAGCCCTGTCTGCAGTGGGATGAGGGTGGGCCTGGAGGGACAGCAGGACTGTCCTCAACACTGACCCTGCAGTACCCATGCAGTGTGGGGCCCAGGTCAAGTGTTGGCCTGCACCCCCTTTCTTAAGGGAGTCCTCATTCAGTCTTTTGGCCTTTCCTTGTCTCAGGACCTTGGTCATCACCTTCCCCTCTCCCATGACCACTTTACCCTGAAGGCTTGTCTATCCTATGGCCAACAGGAACCGTCACCAGGGACCCTCAGGTGCCAAGGCCAAGCCATCCTGATGGGAGGAGGAGGCTGTGGGTTAGGGGTTTGGGCAGAACTGAGAGCCAGTCCCTGAGGCAGCGCTCACAGGGCCAGGAAGAAGTGGATCCTGTTGTAGAGGTGTCCTGGCAGCCCGACGCGACCAAAGTACTCCACCACCATGGAGAGCAGGTACTGCGAGGAATGGGGAGTGGGGGAGAGCAGGAACGGATAGATGGGGGGTGCTCTGGAAGATCCATGGGCCTTGCCCTGATCCAAAGGCCATGGTGGGAAAATCACTCAGGATTGGACTTGCTTAGGGGTCTAAGGGCCCTTGGAAGATGGAGATGAGCTGATGGGAAGGTAGAGGAGAGGCCTGGGGGGGCAGGGCAGGGCCAGCTGTCCATCTCCTCCTCTTTCCACTGTGAGAGCAGGTCCCCGGGGCTGCTGCTGCCCAAGTGGAAGTCATCTTCCATTGTCCCCATGAGGTGGTGACTCTGTAGACCCCTTGGTCCCGGGTCATTTTGGTGCTACAGTTACCTTGTCAGACACTTTGAGGAAAATATCAGCTTCCAAGAAACTCTGGATAACAGGATCCTCTGCAAAGGAAGGAAGGAAGAGGAGTTGAGGGCCCCACCCTTCTGGGCTGCCGACATGTGAGAGGGGAGGAGGAAACAACCTTCTGTGAGTCCCCTCTGTCAGGGAGCAGAAGCCTTTCCCTTTCCTCCAGGAGGCAGCTGGGGCTTAAAACCAGTAGCAGCTCCCTTCCTGCCATGGACATACATAGTGTTTGTTGTTAAATTTTCTCAGGATTTAACAAATCTGTCTCAAGTAAAGTAAAAATCTTGGATGTGATCGTGGGCTCCATGCCCCCACATCCTGGTCCCTTCATCAGGCCATGACTGCCATTTCCTGTCCCGTCTGATGAATGAAGACCCTGTGCAGGTGGTGGAGAGTTTGTAGTCCCTGGGATCGGGCTGGCCCCCACTTTCCCGAATCTCCCACTTCCTGGCGATGACGGGAGCCCCTGTCCCCAGCAGGCTCTTCTTGGATTTCCCCTGCAGCTGCCATTTTCCTATGACCCTGAGGATGCTGCTTCCTGTCCTCCTTCATGCCTAGCCTGGGAGAGACATTTGTGCAGCAGGGAGGGTGGAGGGGGTCTTGGGTCATTTCTCCCTCTCTGACTTTCTCCAGGGAGCCTCGCCCTCAAGAGTTCTGTCTAGTCAAACATTCTGTGATGATGATGTTCTGTAATCTCTGCTATCTAATGTGGTAGCTGTGAGTGTGTGATTGTGCACTTGAAATGTGGTTAGTGAGCCTCAAAGTTTATTTAATTCATTTCAATTTAGTGACAGGTAATTAATAGGTGTTGCATTTGTGAGCTCAGTGTGGGCCCCACACCTCCACTCAATCCTGCCTTTGGTCCTGAGGTCACTTTTTCAGTCAGACTTTCTCTGCGTGTCCCACTTCATGGGGACACACCCTCCTCCCTTTGCTTAGGCCCCATCGCTGGATATTTTGCCTTTCTAAAAAAAAAATATTCCTTCTCTATTTTGTCACTGGCTGAACGCACCTTATTTCTGTGCTTATTTCTTCCCCCATTTTAGCACAAAGACAATGAAAGCTGGTTTGGCCTTTCATCACTAATCTCTGAAATCTTAAATGGAGGGAATGAATGAGCCCTTACTACGTGGAGAGTTTGCACTCCCTTGGTTTGCTCTGAAGTGTCTGTGAGTCTTCTGCCCCTTCAGGCCTCCAGGAACTTGTCTCAGCGAGGAAAACCTTGTCAGTTCCAGAGGAGTCACCCAACACCTTACAGTGAGCGCCCTGGGAGTGGGTGAGCCCAGAGCCATGGTCCCGCAATTCTCAGTACAGAAGCGCATTCAGCTGCAGTCAGCGCACCCACCGAGAAGTCGGTAAAACGCTTCTTGGTCTTCAGGACGGTAACTGGGTCTTCTCCTCTTGTTCATCCTGAGTTTTGTCCCCTCGACATGATTGACAGTCCATATGTTTCTCTTCTGCCCCCTCTTCCTCCAGGACTTGAGTTCACAGGTAGCTTCAGAGGAGGTGGAGTTGGAAGCAGGGGGGTTGCCCTCCTGGACAGCTGCAGGGACAAGACTGTGTGTGACCATGGAGCTGGCCCCTCTGGGGCTTCCTGGGGCCCACCCTTGTGGCTTCCCCTGGCTGGACCCTCCCTTGCGAGGACAAGATGACAGGCAGTCGCTCAGCAACTGGAGGGTGCAAATGGAGGGTGCCGAGGACACATACCTGCCTTGACATCCATCAGCATTCTCCTCTGGCCTCTCCTCTTGGTTCTCTGCTCAGGGTCAGCCTCTGATGAGATGGAACAAGAGTCTGGAAGGCTCCTATTCTGAGTAGCTGTGGGGAGAGGAAGGACCCCAAGTGATGGTGGGAGGGACCCTCCTGGGAATCACGGGGCTCTTCGCTTTCCACTCACCTTGAGGATTCTGCATGTCACGTCCTGGGGGTTGAGGAGAATGACTACCACCCCCTCCCCCTGTGCACTTGTCTATAAGGAGGGCAGTGCATCCAGAGGAGTGAGTCCGGGAGGATGGGAATTATTATTTATCTTTCTTTGCCAGGCATATGCTGCTCTCCTGTGCCTCTGTCCATGGATCGTTCTGCCCGGAGGACACCTCTATGGAGATAAATGTGAAATTCTCTAGTCAGGGATTTTCAGTAGTGACCAACTGACAAGACACTGCCTGGCCTGTCTCACCATGGACATCCTGCTCCTGCCCCCACAGAAGTCATGAGGTCGAGGGGAAGACGCAGTGATGCTGAAGTCACGAGGGCCTAACCCTGTATTCACTCAAAGCCTAGGTGAAGGGCAGACAACCTCACACATCTGCCTTCCCTTCCATGCACACCCCTTTCTTTTGATTCTTCTTTGCAGGGGCCTGTTCGCTTGAGGTAGATGTGGAGACACAGGGTGATCTTGCCTTCTGTCTACAAAAAATTGGAGGTGACCTTATGGGATCTGTCTGGATTCCGACTGGAATCCTTTGGCTTGACCTGCTTCTTCTTCTTCTTCTTTTTTTTTTTTTAAAGATTTATTTATTTATTCATACAGAACTGGAGTACAGGCCAGAGATGCAGAGGGTGAGAGGATTCACCAGAGACAGAGTGGGGAGCAGAACAGGCAGATCGATGAAGTACACTACTGAGGAGAGCAGCGGGCGGGTCAGGAGAGGTCTGCCGCGCCATGTGGATCTCCTCCAGGGCAGGTGGGGATCGAACTCATGCGGAAGTGGCTTAAGCTTCTTAGTGTTGTGCTTTAACCCGCTGCACCACCAGGGAGGGCCCTTGACCTGCTTCTTATGAGATCTAGTGATGGTGAAATGGCAATAACAGTAACTAACAGTCATTGGTTGCCTATTAAACATCAGCTAATGATCAGGGCACTAAAAATTACTGAGTTCCATCCTGAGAAATACCCTGGGAGGGAGAGTTTATGACTTACCTGATTTATAGTTGAGGAAGCCATGGTTAGGTCTAGGACTCGCTTGACCATGGCTAGGGCTCTTGGGGTCTGGGGCTGGTATTTGTGTCTGAGAAGTGAGCCTCAGCTACGTTTCCATTAGGGCTAAACAGCGTGGTGTTATACATTCATTTTGTCATGAGCTCTAAATGTTCTTGCGAACCATTGTAAACTAATGGGCCATCAAGCCCGACGCTTGTCTGGGATGGCTCTTGGTTGATGGAGGCAGTGCCTAGAGCCCCCAAGGGCAGCACCATCACCTGAGAACAACCTTCCTCAAGACCGGTGGTGGAGACTGCAATCTCTCTCCCTCCCTTTCCCCTTCTCTCCTTACACCTCTCTCTTCCCTCTCCCCTTTCTCCCTCCTTTATCCCCTCTGCATCTCCCCTCTCTGTCCTTCCCATCTCCCCACAGTTCTCATGACCCTGGAGTTTCTTAGGGCAGCTTTGTGGGCCCAGTTCTCTGAGAGCTGGATTTAGGCTCTGATCTCCTCCCTGTTTTCATATCCTCTCCCCTCTGTTCACACCCTCCTACCATCGCTCTCACTCACCCAGGGCACAGCCTCACAGGAGAGCGAAAGGAGCACTGACTGTAGTCGAGTGTTTGAGATCCGTGGCTCCCGGAGGTTCTGGAGCCCAGGCTACTGATGACATCACAGGATTCCACCCGGGACAGGTTGTGGGGGTGATGAGTTAGCGCCCCAGTCTGAACATGGGCTACCTCCTCTTTCCCAATATTGCATCCACTTTGAAACTCATCTTGTATTTAATCAAATTAATTAATGTTTCCAAGTGAAAGGGGTACATCGACATATCAAACAAGGAAGAAAATACAAAATGAAAAGTTCATTAATTCTGTATCCATAAAAGTTGCTAATGTGGCTTTATTTTTATGGCTTATTTGTGCAAGATTAACATTTTTAAAACTCCATATTTTGAGATCATTGTAGATTCATTTGGAGATTAAGACATAGCACATAGTGAGCCTATATACTTTTCACCAGGCTTCCCCCAAAGGTAATATAGTATCACAACTGGAAATTGACATTGGGATAATCCATCAATTTTACTTAGATTTCACTAGCTTTATATTATGTGTGTGTGTGTATTTAGTCCAATTTTCTCACTTCCATGAACTCATGTGGCCACCCCAAAATTCAGGAGAGTTCTATTACAGAGATCCCTCAGGCTTCTTTTACTTACTCCCCAAGCCCAAATCCAGGCGACTACTGAGCTCTTCTCTATCTCTATAATTTTGTTGTTTAAAAACTATCATATAATAGAAGCAAACAGTGTATTATCTTAAGGTAGTGGCTCTTTTCCCTCTCAGTTTGAGAGGGACAGAGTGAGTCAGATTCTGGAATAATTTTTAGAGTAACAAGGATGTTGGCTTGTTGCTCTGCAGGCCTTCTCCCAGTAGGGGGCACTCTAGGTCCTCTAAGGAAATAATTCAAAGGAGAGTGCTGGTGTAGTAGAACCAGGCAAGGCTTTATTAGAGACTACTGCATGCGGAAACCAGTGCCTGAAAGGAGAAAATAACCTGGCTCCTTGAAAGGAGTGAGGAGGAGATCTTTTAAGGGGAAGCACGAGGTATAGCAGAAGAGAGCAGTGTTGGCTTGCTCTGGGTTGGCCTATGCCAGGGCACACACAGATGGCTTAAATTCCAACAGCACATGTGGGCTCTTGGCCTTCTCCCTCCAGGAAACTGCAAGATATTCATTAGTCAGGATCGAATGCTTTTTATCTAGCATGGCACCTCACGGTCAGTCTGGTGGGCCAAATTGTTTGGACGGCCATGATTTAGTCCATCTGTTCAAATAGGCCGTGGGGCAACTCTCATCCAATAGGCTCAGATTGTCTCTTACTGAGGCCGTCTCAGACAGAACCAAATGCATACCTTTCATGGGGCTTGCAAAGATTGGTAGATGTGAGGAGGTGCTGCTGACCTGAATTGCAGAGAGACACACCCTCGACAGATGAGCAGGGAGTCCAGGTGCTCTGGGGGCAGGTGCCTGCAGGAGCACAGGTGTTAGGGCAGCAAGCTTTGTGGGGCTGGGAAGCATCCTGGTGCTTCTCAGGGGACATATTTGGGTCTGGAAGAGTTCCAGACATCTCTGTTTCCCTGGAATTTTCCTGGGGCAGTGGCACTGGAGAAGGGGCAGGTAAGCAGAGGAAATCCAGGCAGGTTTACACATTCCTGTGGTATTTGAGTTCTGGACCCTGTTGGAGGCTCGGAACCTACAGGTGAACCCAAACTCTATGAAACAATGGCCACCCTTACCCCAATCATAGAAGATGAGTCCTTGTCATGGCATCAATGCAGGAAATCAATGCAGTTTCTTACATTGGCTGTAAATTCAAGTTAGTGTTAGAAAAACCCACAGGTGTGGAGGTCTAATGGCTTTATAAAAACAAGTCAGGAATCAAGCAGCCTCTCAACGAGACTCTACAAGGGGTTGCACAAAACAGTGGGTATTTATAGGTAGAAAGAGAGGGGGACAAGATTAGTAGGAAAAGAAAAGCATATTTTAGGGATGGGAGTGGGAAAAAAAGAATATTTTAGGTAAAGACCTTCCCTCAGGGGCAGGTAAGGGTGTTATCATGCGGATTAACTCACAGGTGCTGGCTGGGAAACTCCAGATTGACTGGTTTAATACCACAGTTTGGGGAGAGGCTGAAGCTGCACTAGTGTTATGTTTGGATGAAGACTACATCTTAGGCAGTTGGGGAGATTGTCCCTATTTCTATTCTGTTTTTAACAGTAGAAATTGCCAGACCTTGTAAAAAAAAAAAAAAAAAAAAAAAAAAGAGTGGCCTGGCCAGGCCCCATTGTGGGGGCTCTCACACCGGGGCAACCCACTGGTCCTTAGAGGGGTGAAGGTCTGATCAGCACAAGCAATGGAGGTGGGGGCAGGGATATTAAGGAGTTGGACTAAACCCCTCGATGGAAGTTTCCAGGAATCTGAGGTGGGACCAGAAAAGATAAGCAGTCAGAGGTGGGGGCAGAGAGAATTAATAGTCACAGAAGACCAAGCCCACCTGACCCTGAGGTGATCATTTCCACAATGATTCCAAGGAAGAACACTGTAAACACACCCTTTGCCCTGGCAAAACACACCTCTTGTCTTTCACGACTGCCCACCTGTGTCCATGCAGGTGCATCTCTTTCCTTTCTCCCTTTCCTTAATAAACTTGCTGTGTGCTGATAATGGGAAACTTGTTGAATTTTTTCTCAGAGGGACTCAAGAGTCCCACTTGCCGAACTCCATCATCTGAACCCAACAGTGTCACGGCAGGCTGGGGAGGGCAGGCTGGAGAACCCTGTGCAGCCTCTTGCAGACTGTGAGGACCGCCTAGACTTCCTTGGCCTCCCTCTCTCTTTTTTTCTGTGACCACTGCTAACTGGCTGAATGGTCCTCAGCAGAGGGAACATGGCCTGGGTATTCCCAGACCACCTCCCTTTTGCCCTTATAGGTCTAGAAGAGAGAAAGGAACTAATGTGTTTCCCTCCTTTTAGGTAGAAGGGCTTTGAGGGCTGGAGGGTGTCTTAGGAGGAAGTGTTGTTCCAAATGTAGCTTGTTCCAAGATATAATTTGAAAAACACGTTGGCACTGATTGTCCGTCTGGGAATTCTTGGATTTTGTGCCAAATCTTGCCCTTTCAGGGTTGATGTGAGCATTGCCCGATGGGTGGTGGGTTTGCACCTTTAGGGTGAACCTGGTGAGAGTCAGTCAGGTGCTGATGGTGGCTATTAGACTCTCTTAGGTTGGTTGGCTTAGCGTGCCCCCTACTGGGAGGAGGCCTGCACAGCAACACACCCCTAGTCTTGTTACTGCACAAAAATTGTCTGCGACAGTGTTAAATTACTTCGGGGGGACATTTATACCCAGGGGATGTATATTAAAATCACTGTGAATGTTGCCATCTTAAATTACTAGTATCAGGAATTTTATTGAGGGGCTACCACAATAAT